ATGTTTTATATTTTATTTGACATATTTTCTATCATCTGAGGAAAATTTTAAGTTAAAAAAAAGAAAAAAAATGTATTTTATCAATACTTTTAACTGATTAAATACTGGATATAATAAGATTTAAAACATTTTTCCTTTTACTTTGAATACTTAAGTCTGTTTTCATAATGTGGTAAAATCATTGGAGAAAAAAGTATTTCTTATTTACAAAGGAGAAAAAAACAGAGTAAATCCATTAGAAGAAGTCGAATATTAAAAAGATAATAAATAGAGATTCTCCAGCAGATAAACTTTCATATAAAAAGCTGTGCTTCAATAACATGGAAGAAAGTGGTGCACTGGTTACCTTGGAGAAGCGGCGGCTGTACTGAGCCATGACGTTGGGATCGGGGCATTCCAGTTTCTTGATGATCTCAAAGCTCTGGTTGAGCTGGGTGAAGATGTCCACCACCGAGCAGGAGAACAGAGCATGCTCAGACGTCTGCTGGAACTGAGAGGAGGGCACGCACAAAAACGAGCAGGAAGAAAAACCAAAAAGATGTCGACATGTTTAGAAAGCCAAGGTTGTGTTCAAGGAAAGAGGGTCCCTGTAAATTCAGACAGTTTGTGAGCAGCCAAAAAATATTTTTGTTCTTTTACCACAAACCAGGAAACAAACCATTATCCAATTTCTGATTGTTTTTTTTTTTATGCGTTAAAGGGCTCATTTTCAATTATATTTTTTACAAACAGCCTGACCCTGCAGTTCTCTCTGTGCTGCATACATATGGGGGCAATATTGTTGCAAAATTATTTGCAAATGTGTAAGGAGATTTGTCTAACTTTACGAAAATCTGCAAATGTCTATTGCGATTTACAAATGTGCAGATCAGTGTGTAAACACACAGAGTCACTTAATTCTGAAGTATGTTTGCTTCAACACCCAGAAGAACAGAAAAATCATTGGTTAGAAGTTAAACCGTTTTTGCTACACTTCTGCCATGGGAGATCTGCGAATGCGTAGAGAGGATTCGTATGCGTAATATCTTGATTTGCTGCCCTGCACGCAGGCTCGCAGGATTATGGCAGCCGTTTATCATAAAATCAGCTTTTCGGACCATCTGTAATTCCTGTATTATTGTATTATGACAGCGAAAATAACACTTCAAGATATCAATCATCACTTTTTGGAGAGTCAAAAGGCCTTTTGCGAAAGCTCAAATTCTGATTCATCATTTAAAGTTTCACACATCTGGAATTATAGATATCTCAAAGTAAATTTTGACTAGCCAAAGCTATATATTTTGATATCTCAACTACAAGTAGCCCCCTAGTTCTGTCACTGAGGTGTCCAAACATCTGCCTGCAGTATTTAGGGTGGCTGTAATGGAGCTTGTGTCTCTGCTTCTGTCTCCTTGAACCCCAGTCGGCCTCGGCAGATGGCCGCTCACACTGAGCCTGGTTTTGCTGGAGGTTTCTTCCTGTTAAAAGCGAGTTTTTCCTCTCCACTGTCGCTACAAGCATGCTTAGTGTGAGGGATTGCATTTGAGTCAATGAATCGATGCAATCAGCTGTTTTTTTTTTTAGATAGAAAACTTTGAATCAATTTGACTCTATGATCTGGTGAAAAAGTGCCTTGAGATGACGTGTTGTGAATTGGCGCTATAGAAATAAACTGAATTGAATTGAAAAAGTTATTTCAAAATGTCCTAATATAGAAACAACTCAGAAGTATGGGATGTGCAGAGAACAAGAACTTTGTGAACTCGAAGACTGCCTCTGAAATGTGCGGTGAATTGCTGCTTGAATACGCGTTTGAAGCCGGATATTCAAGCTCAGATGAGTTAGTGGCGCCTGATTCCCGCTCAGATGTCCGCCAGTCGCTCTCTACTGCTCCCTCTTCTCACGGGCAGTGGTTCACTTATGGAAGCCTGCGAGCCTGCGCTCAGGGCAGCAAATCAAGATATTACACATATGAATCCTCTATACGCATTTGCAGATCTCCCATAGCAGAAGTGTAGCAAAAATCACATGTGTAAAGAGAGATAATAACACTTAGGAGTTATAATTTGTTGTTTCAATTTCGAATAGTTCTAAACAACAAGGCAATGGTTTGTTATCCGTTTTCTCGTTTTGACTCAATAAAAGTAAAATAACAATACTACTGTGTTTTTGTTTTTTTCACCAAACTGCCTGAATATGCACAAACCAAACAGGAACGCCTCGTTAAATCAGCCTTACTCCGTCTTTCTTGTCTCTCTCCAGGGCTCCATGCATGAATTCCATCGACACGTCCTCGTTTTCATCCAACCACTGCAGAACGAACTGCACAAACCAACTAAAACAGGAAAAACACCTTAAATCCACACCTAACCAGAATAAATATCTGTCATAGGTCTTTCCTTTAATAAGGTTTTAGCGCTTACGATGGGTATTCAGGAATGACGCTCTTAAAGGTTGAAAGCTCCTTGACGTATTCATTGTAGAGCCACTTGACTTTAAAGTGTAGATTCATGTAGTCTGTGCTTTTACACAGTCGATGCTTCTCATGCTCTGCACAAAAAACAAAAAACATTCATAAATCAGTCATTTTAATTAGAATTATACATTTAATGGATTAAAATATGTTTAAACCCCAAAGAACTGATAGAATATCTGCTAATTAACGCTCATCAGATGTATTCAAGAATTCAAACGATGTGTAGAAATCATTAAGACTATTTTCTATAGCTTTGCAGTTTAACAAATTCAATATAAAGTTATTAGCGATGCCCTAATCAAAGTTTTTCATTTCCAATGAGACACCGACACTGTATAAAGGCGCATATATAAACGTCTTATTTTTCCCTCAAAATGTGCGGTGCACCCTATGTGTGTT